CTGCCCATGCTGCGGCAGCATTTGGAGTGTCAATGCAGCGTTTGGTGCAGCCACGTGGGGCCGGCCAGGGCTCCCTCCTACAACCAGAGCCCCACTGGAGACACTCGGCTACAGGAGCTCCTGTCGCCGCCTTCCTGAGCATCGTTTGAAGGCAAAGCCCATTCTTTTAAAAATGACGGCCTACTACGACAAAGCCTCCCCTGCCCGAGAGGACAGCCCAACCCCATGAGGGGAAGCGAATCTCCCGGAGCCACAGCGCAGGACTGGTTCACCCTGGGAGAAGCACCCAGCCGCCTTCCCTGCATGGTGCCCGGCAGAGCATGAAGAGCCTCACCTGGGGCGCCCTGCGCAGCTGACAGGCAGGCCCTCCTGCCCTGCAGCAGAGCTCTGGCCAAGGCAGCGGGTGCCTCCCCACCGGACCCTCCGCTCATCCCGCCAGGGCCGCGCTGGAATCAGGCGGGCTGGGAAGATCCGTGGAAGCGATCCGCCAGTGCGCACCCACCTGCCAAGCGAAAGAGCTGGGCCAACCCGAGCTTGGTTTCCTGAGTCCCTCCAGCCCGACCCCAAAAGGGCCACTGGGAGGCCACCCAAGGCAGTGATAGTGCCCACACATCCACAGACAGGGAGGCAAGGCGACTGCAGCGCCGCTTCCCTGGCCGGTGGGTCCAGCGGAGGGAGCCCGCAGTCGCCCATCTTTTCTGCCCCTCGCCCAACCTGTCCCCATCCCCACACACCTCCAAATGTGGCAGCAGCTCCAAACGCGACGGCATGGGCATCAGGCAGAGGCACTCACTCGGTGGGGCTCAGCTTGGAGGAGGACGCGGTGCGGGCTGTTGCCTCACCTCCCTGTCTGCACAGACTGCCCGGCTCCAGCATGGCCCTGGCGGCTTGAGCAGAGGGCCTGGCGGGGATGTGCCCGCTGCCTTGGCCAGAGCTCTGCCACCGGCAGGAGGGCCCGCCTGTCAGCTGTGCGGGGCACCCCAGGCAAGGCTCTTCGCACTTTGGCCGGCACCAGGCAGGGATGGCAGCTGGGTGCTTCTCCCGGGGTGGGCACTGCGGCACTGGGAGATTCACCTCCCCACGTGGGGTTGGGCTGCCCTCTCGGGCGGCTGAGGCTTTGTCGTAGTAGGGCATTGTTTTTAAAAGAATGGGCTTTGCCTTCGAACAACGCCCGGGAAGGTGGTGACAGGAGCGCCTGTAGCTGAGTGTCTCCGGCGTGGTTCTGGTTGCAGGGAGGAGCCCTGGCCGGCCCTGTATGGCTGCGCCAAATGCTGCGGTGATGCTCCAAACGCCACGGCAGCACAGGCAAAAGGGAAAGCAACGGCGGTGGAAGGTCTCCCGATACGAAGTGCTCCAACGATGCCGAGGCCGACATCCATGCTGATGCCGCCTGCCCGAGGATACAAGGGGCGGGATTTAAGTCACCCTCGAAAAGACGGCCTAGCCATTTTTTCAGGACACAAAAAAAAAAAAAAAAGACCCGGCCTTATTATATGAGAAACACGGTTGTATATAGTGACCTTTGCCCCGAAGTGGAGGATATACTCGCTATCACCTTCTTTTCAGTTTTTATAGTTATTGTTGTCGTTGTCATTTTCAGGGTCCTTAACAAACTCTTCCAATCTACCATGAAATGGCACGTTTAGAGCTACCCCTTGTTATCTATTATGTCCTATGTAGTATTATAATATTACAATAAATTATCTCATATATTATTCCACTATATTTTATCTATATTCAATATTCAATCTTCACTAGTAGAAAATACTCAGTTGATTAATTAATTAATAACATTCTACTTTATCCTTATAGTTGCAACAGAATACCAAATACCAATTATAATCTTTGATTGTCACTAATAATCAATGGTCAATAATCAATAATTTATCTAATAAATATAATTAATTCATTAATTAAATTATTTAGAGTCCTAAATATATTGTATAAATTACTCAACTATAAATATACCTTCAATCCACAGTTTCAAATACAATATATATTATTTGCACAAGAACATTTTCAAAAAAAATGTTAGTGTCAGGGTATTACTACTTACTCAAATATATTTAACTCTGATATTCAATATTAGTCATTGGATCACTATAATATATTATATAAATATTGTGGTGTGTGTGTGTGTGTGTGTGGTATTCAGCTTTGTTTGGGTATTTTCGTTATAGTTGTGCTTTTAAAGTTGTAGCGACGTTTCGGCAGAATCTCATCTGCCATCATCAGGCTCATGATGGTGGGAAAATACCCGAACAAAGCTGAATACCATACATACATACATACATACATACATACATACATACAGTATATTATTTACAGAGCTTCCAGCTTTCTTTCCTCAGCAATTCCCTGTCTCTTCAAGATGTCTTCTTTTAAACTGCAGTCACTATGATTTGTCGTTTTGACTTTTTCCTGCTGTACTTCGTTCACAGTCCTTGCTGTGGTTGATCTCTCTCTCTCTCTCAGTAATCGCCAACAATCAAAAGTTATTCTCCAGCAATCTTTTCTCTCCTGTTGATTCTGCCATCCACAAACGCAGGAAACCGTTGCTTTTCCTTTCTCTTTCCCTGCCTATCATCTGTCAATCTCTCAGTGCCACTATTCAATTACTTAGTCCACCATAAAAGCTCCTACCACCAAATCCACTGCCTGCTTCTGTCTCTCGGTTCGAAGCCTCTCTCTTCCTTCACTACACCAAGTCTTCTCTATACAGCTACTTTCTTTTTATCTCACTCTTCACCATTATTCGTGTTGCTTTCCACTCTTTGCTTCCTTCATCGATCGGTCAGGCAGCCACATCTCTGGATCAGATCATGAAGACCAATCTCTTTCGCGCCGGTTTTCGGGACTTATTACAACATCAGGGAGTCACGGCTCTCCCCGACGCCTCTAAATCTTCTCCTTTCTATTGCCGGTCCCTCCAGGATCCGTCTTCACCCCTATGGACTACTGATCGTGAAACTTCAGTCATTCAGAAGGGAGATCCATTCCTCTGCACCATATCAGTGTGGCACCACAACTGGAAGTCCAGGAATTTTCTTACATTAACTCTTATAGAAAAAATCATGGACTGCAAAGAGTTTAGGAAGCATCAATGGGTTCTCATTGTTAGATGATATTAATTAGGAGAAGGGTACAAAACATTTGCAAGACATTGCATATAGCATGGAACACAGACAAAAATATCATTGATGAGAAAATATAGTGCAATATGACATTACCAAGAACTAGGTGTCCTTCCAAAATAGATGAAAAAACAAGAAGAAAACTGATCCAAGAAACTGTCAAGAGCCTACAGCAACAACAAAGGAGCTGCAGAAATTTCTGGAAAATAGTGGTCTCCCATATTCTTCATATGTCTGGGCTGTAAAGTAGAGTAGCAAGACAGAAGCTTTTTCTTACAAAGAAAAACATCCTAGCCCAGCTACATTTCATAAAAACCTACATCAAGTATGACAAAAATATATGGGAAATGATGTTAGGGTCTGATGAGACCAAAGTTGAACTTTTTGGCTATAATTTCAAAAAATATGTTTGGCTCAAAAACAACACTGCACATCACCAAATGTACATTACACCATACTCACAATGAAGCACAAAAGTGGCAGCATTATGCTTTGGGGTTGCTTTTCTTCAGGGGTTTTAGTCAAGATGAGGGAATTATGAATAGTTCCAAATATCAGTCAATTTTGACCCAAAACTTTCAGGCCTCTGATAATACTGAAGATGAAGAGAATTTCACCTTTCAACATTACAACAACCCAAAGCATACCTCCAAATCAACTGAAGAATGGCTTCACCGGAGCAAAGTTTTGGAACGGCCCAGCCAGAGCCTGGAATTGAATACAATTGAAAATCTGTGGGGTGAACTGAAGATGGCTATGTACAGGAGATGCCCTCACAATATGACAGATTTGGAAACCTTTGCAGGGAAGAGTGGGCAAAGATTCCAAAGGCAAGATGGGCCATTTAGAGAAATTCCTACCCCAAAAGGTTGAATACTGTCATAAAATCAAAGAAGTATTAGTTTAAGGGTATGTATACTTATGCAATCACATTATTCTAAGTTTTTAACTGTTTCCCCCCCTTGAAAATTTCAGTTTCTTTTTCAAATAAAATGTACAATTTATATGTTATATTTTTATGTTGTTGCTATTAATATATTAATATATGATTAATATATATTATTGGATTTAGTTAGTGTAGTGAAAAGAAGGACTAGGGGTGACATACTAGGCATGTTCCAATATTTGAGGGGCTATCACAAAGAAGAGGGGATCAACCTATTTACCAAAGCACCGGAAGGCAAGACAAGAAATAATGGATGGAAACTAATTGAGGAGAGAAGCAACCTAGAACTAAGGAGAAATTTCTTAACAGTGAGAACAGTTAATCAGTGAATTGGCTTCCTTTCAGAAGTTGTGGGTGCTCCATTACTGGAGACTTCTAAGAAAAGATTGGACAGTCCCCTGTCTGGAACGGTATAAAGTCTCCTACTTGAGCAAAGGGTTGGACTACAAGACCTCTACTCTATTATTCTGTTTTATTCTATTAAAAGCAGGGAAAATTTTGAAGTAATTTATTTTGGTCTGATTTTTTTTACATCTCAAAAACCTGATTTTAACAGGGATGCATTAGAGTTTCTACATCCACTGTATCTTCTATGCCCGGCATAGTACACTCTAAAAATTTATCTATGCACAAAAAAGAAAAGAAAAAGGAAGTACTCCTAGACCTTTAAACTACCTTTGTGATGAAAAGGATACTTTTATGACTATGTCAAATATAATAGCTTTGATTTTAAAAATTGACTTTATAGAGGTTTTAGTTGTAATTTAGCTATAGTGCATTTAGATTATGTGGATAATTTATTGTTTCAATAAAAAAGCTGGTTTTAAGAATAATTTCAGCTATAAACTATTGAACCTCAACAACTTCAACTCTGTATTATAAAGTAAGCTTTGATAGGAAAGTCTGTTGAGAACACTTACCTGTTTTAGTTGATAAATAGACTTGGAATGATCTCCGCCAGTGATCTGATCCAGCAAATCGTCTACTATTTTTTTACTATAGCTTCCAGAATCTTTCACAAATTCTTGAAGACTAAAAGAAATTCCAATGTAAAACAAATATCAGATGCATTCATATTTTGCTTTTGACTATGTTCCTTGGATATTTTTATAACTATTCTCTTTGTTATTTATACTAGCTTCTAAATGAATTGGGCTCCTTCATATGCCAAGGTCATTATATTGCCAACACTGTTTAGGATTAGGGGTTCAATATTGCAGTTCAACAATCTTACCTTAAAGCACACTGAATCCCAGTCTCATCTCCATATGCTGAATACAGCAGCTCCATTTCATCCATTTTCAGATCATGAAAGATAGAGTGGTTTTGCATTGAAACCACTGTATTAGCATTTGAAAGAAATGTAACTGAAAATATAAAATATGTGTTTGAAATATTCTGCAAAAAGAGCTATAACTCTTAGGCTTCATATATTTTACAGTAAATAACTGGTTATACCTTGGGTTTACTTTGGTAGTGTGATTCCTAAAATTATAAATCAATTTGTGCAACCTTTACAAAGAATAAAAAGTGTGGTGAACAAATAAGACAAAAAACACAAGTCTTTTGGAGTTATCATTTAAGCACTGTTCATAAACCATCCTATAAAGTGCCTTCTCTTATTTTAATGCCAATCTCTATATTTTTATCCCATATCTTTGTTGACATTTTCAGTGGAATCTTTTTGAAGAAGGACTTTGATCTTTGATATCCTGCAAAGCTCAGGTAATCTAAAGACACTCAATATAAATCAAAGTCAAGGTAATAAACAGCAGCCAGACTCGAAGAGCAGGAAAGTGAGTTCTCAACCAAGTTTAACCTTTCTTCGTCCTATCTACCTGTTTATATTGAGAATCCCGATACAACCCCTGACCACATCTGGCCCTTTGGCTATCTCTGTTGGGTACATGTGAGGTCAATCATAAATTAAAAATCAAATATAACTAAATGTATGCCTACAATTTGTATAATTGCAATTTACACAAAATTGTTCTTCATTTTATAAAAGATTCAGGACACTGCTGAGATTCCACAGATGCAAAAGGGGTAAATTCTTCCTCTTTGCCAACTTTATCCAATATAGTAAACTTGAGGTATTTATTATATTCATTTAATGTTTTCATCAGGAGTTACTTCAAGTATGTTTTTTACCCACAGCATTTTCTGGAGCATCTCAGAAAATCAAGGAGCTGGTTAGGATCAACATGAAGGGAGACATCATTCAGGAGCAATGCTATCTAGCAGACTAGTGATTGCTGAATTTCAGAAACTTACAGTATATTTAGTAGAAATGCCTTGCAGATTGCTAGGTAAGTCCTAAGCATCGTCTAAAATCCTTATGGATCTATTATACATTTGCAAGAGTCACCTTAATTGGCCTCAGATTCAATTAATACTAACATTTTTCCATGACAAGGAGCTAATATAAATGTTCCCCAGAACCAGATTATATTTATATACTCCATGGTAAAGATCAGATCTAATGCATGGCTGCTTTTTTTATTATTATTTATATTGCTGCCAACTTGTACGTGGCAACTCAAGGCAGCTTACAGAACATAAAAGCACAATGTAAAAGAAATAATAATAAAAAATAATAAAACAATAACCCCACCACCCCACTCTGGTGACAACACACATATAGAGCAATAGTCAAGACGGGAGGTGACTAGGGCATGAGTGATTGTGAATAGGGTTTGAGAAAGGCTGTAACTGGCACACAACCTGCAGTTGCACAAAGATCCTCCTCGCATGATACCCATCTGCTCATGAGTCCAGGAGCACCGCCAGATTACACGTGGGGCAGGATCTGTTTGGGGCAGTGCCACCTCACCCAATATCAAAAGTGGCAATTCTCCATGGACAAAAGAATCACAAACCCAGAGCCACTTGATCTTGCCAGGCTTCAGTTTCAACCCATTGCTCCCCATCCAGCCTTGGCAGCCTCCAAGCACTGTGAGAGAGAGGTCACAGCCTTGCTTAACTCACCAAAGACTGAGATATAAAGCTGAATATCATCAGCACACTGATGATACCTTAGTCCATGGTAACAAATGATCTTACCTTACAGCTGCATGTAGATGTTGAACAAGAGCAGAGAGAGTACTGAGCCCTGAGGGACCCCGCAAAGTAGTGGGCAAGGGCTGGATCTCTCGCTTCCTATTAACACTGACTGAGAGCAGCCACAGAGGAAGGAAGTGAACCAGGATAGCACAGAGCCCGCCCCCCAAAAAAGCTGCTGCAGCAGGATACCATGGTCAATGGTACAGAAAGCTGCCGAGAAGTCAATTAGAGCAAGGATGGATACACTACCCCATCTCATTCCCGCTAGAGCTCATCAAAATGCCATTTTTGTCTCATATTCTGACCTGAATCCTGATTGGTAGGGGTATAGACAATCCATTTCATACATCCTCCTGCACAACTATCTTCTCAACAACCTTTCCCAAAAAGGGAAAATTAGTGACAGACTGAAAATTATCCAACAGGGTGGAATCTAGGGACACCTTCTTGAGAAGAGGACAGATCACAACTCCTTAAAGTGCTGAGGGACTACCCCTTCCTGTAAGGAAGCATTAATCAGCACCATAGCCCAGCCGCCTGTCACTTCCTGGGAAGCTTTCACAAGTCAGGAGGGACATGAGTCTAAAACATAGGTACTTGAATGGATACTCCCTAGGATCCTGTCCACTTCCTCAGGAGCAACAGGGTCAAACTGTTCCCAAGCAGAGCAAAAATCTGCTTCAGGGGCCTCCACCAGATCAGCAACCATACTGGCATCTAACTGGGAATGAAGTTGAGTGATTGTCTTCCAGAAAATCTGCAAATTCCTCAGCGTGCCCCTTAAAGCGGACTCATCCTCTTTCCCCAGGAGGAGATGGCTCACCTTAAATAGGGTTACTGGTTGATTATCTGCAGAAGCAATTAATGTGGAAAAGTATTTACACTTCACCGCATGAATCACCATGAGGTAGGCCTTAATAGCAACTGTTCCCGTGTTCAATTGAATTCATCCCTTTACTTCCGCCAAGGGCGTTCTAGATGTCTCTTCATCCCTCTCAGTTTCTTTGTATATCACTGAGGACAGAGGTCTACGGATGAGGAGAGATCACAGGGACACAATCTATCCAATTATGTGATTTGTCGTGGCAATAATCTAGGACAAAGCCACAGCTATCGTGGTAGCCATCAATTTCCAAGTTATCTGTGGCCTCAGTCAGGACAGGATAAAATTGCAGTGTCCTGATTGAATCCATAACTATTCCAACAATGGGACTGAACAACTCAGAAGGGGATACTGTACCAATATGTGAGAAAGATATAAGAGCAGCACCCCTGTTTGTTCTTCTGGCTCAGACTCACAAATATGGCCTCACATCTGGTTATAGTTCTTCACAACAGCCAAAGTTTCCCCATACAATGCCATATCATCTCTCTGCTCCAGGTGTAGAACTAATGCAAGATATGGAAATTGTCTGGATGGATTTCAGTGCAAGAGATTCCTAGCTCTTTGACCAGCCAAGTCTTACTGACATATGCCAGATTGGGCCTCTCATCCACAACTAAACATTAAATAATAGATAATGATAATTTTATTACAAGCAGATCTTGTACACAAAAGTGTAGGCCTGAGTCACTGAGCCCATAAATTTGTAGGATCAGAAGTAAAGAGTGAAACCAAGTTTGTAATCTCTTTTCTTTTGGAATGTGGCCATCCACCAACTCCCAGAATACTTTCCCCTTCCCATTACTAACATTAACTGCCTCTCTGTCTTTACTTTGACTCTGTCTCACATTTACCTCCAGGTCATCCCACTCCCATGCACTCCCAGTTACTCCACCTCTATGGAAAAATAATCCATACCAAGTGCAAACAAATCACAATATCAAAAATCTTCATGTGACAGCTGTACCAAATTTACCATAATTTCCTACATTCCTAAAACATTCCTCTCCCCTTACTGTCTCTCCACTTACATTCCTCTCCACTTGCTGTCTCCAGCAAGCCTTCTGCCAGCTGAGTAAGAATGAAGTAAAAGGTCTTGTTCCCTGATTTCCCATTCCAGGGAGGAGTTCCACTTTCCCAATTTTGTGACTCACACAAATAGTCAGTAACTTTGTTATTTTCTTCTTCTTTCCCTGATTACTCTCCGTTTGTTCTCCAACATTCTCTTCTGTCTAAAAAAATAAGGCCAAGACCACTCTTTGCTCCTCCATTTTAATAGAAACAATTTAATGGGTCTCCTACATATTCAGCTTGTCTGGCATAAACCTTGTCTGCACGTACCCCACAAGAATCAAATTAATTAGAAACTCCATCTCTATTCTCTAATGGTCTAATTGAGCAATATTGTAGCAAGAATTCATTGCTGGCCTTCCAAAAGTCAGAACTCCTCCATTCTAAAGTCAGAACTCCTCAATTGTTCATCTGTATGATGCCTATGGCAATAGCCTCAATTTTCCAACAAAGCAATCTCCTTGAAGATAGTTGCCTTGTCCACCCGGGCTTCCAACTCCAACTTTATGCACTTTAAAAATAATAAAGTCTTTAGAGATAGTAAAAATACTTCTTTTCCTCTTTTTTTCACACTACAACTAATAACACAAATTAATAAATCATCAGCACACAACCTTCACAGATTCAGCCAGTTTCCATTCTTGTTTTTTCACATTTGATAAAGTTTTAAAATTATTTAATTGTACTGTGATGCCTGTTTTAATTGTATTCAAACTTTTCTTGTTGATTTTTTAAATAAATATTGTTGTTTGGCATTCTTATTATATATAAAAAAATGACATAAACATATTTAAAAATGACTTAAATATTTTAAATTGAAGGGTTCTGAGCCAAGGACAGAATCCTGACTATGCCACTGAAATAAGTCTCCAGTTCAGCGAGGAGTTGCAGATAAACCTTTGGTGTTTAAGCTAGCTATGAATACCACAAAGAACTTGTATGCTTGAGAAAAGCTTGCATTACGGTATCTACATCCAAATGAAATTAATCATTTATATTTCAATGAGACCTACAGAACCATACTGCTTGAGTCACTGAATATCTAGTAATTACATTCTAAAAATATTCAAAATTAAATGAAAATATGAAGACAAATGCTTAATCTTATAAATATAAATATTCTTTGCATCACAGAACTTACCTTTGTGCCTTCTTTCATCTTTAAAGCCTAATGCTGTAAAACCCGGTAATAATTTGCTAGATAGAGAGCTCAGATCCACTGGATGGCTTTCCTCCTCTATTTTCAACAATAAACATATACATAAATGTTTATTAAGTTTTCAAAAATAATAGACAGGAGGATTTTTTAAATAAAATATCCATGGATTTTAAGAACTTCTGCCTGAAATTACTAAAAAGGATATTCTGAAACTGTTAATATTTTAAAACAGTATCAGTTTGTTTTAATGTGACAGTAAAAAACAAATGAGCTGCAGGAAAGATAAACTAGATAATGAACAAAAATAAAAAAATAATATTATTAGGTTATTCAAATAAGCAGAAAGAATTGTTTTTTCAGTTATCTTTTTAAAAATTATAATGGAGGTATATTTTCAAAACTAATAGACAGGAGGATACTCTTACAATACTATCATAGAGTTTAAGAAGTTTTGCTTGAAATTATTAAAAAGGTTATTCAGAAATTATCAATATTTTAAAACAGTGTCAGTTTGTTTTAAAAACTTAGTAGAGTTAGATAATAAACAAAATAAATTAAATAATTAGATAATAAACAAAATAAAATAAACAAAAATAAAAGAAAATAGGAATTATGTTTTTTAAATTATAACAGAGGTGTATTTTCAAAAAAGTTCTATAAATGGACGATAATGACAGAAATTTTACAATTAATGCTTGATAAAACATTACTTATATCAAGCAGTATACACTGAATTGAAAAGGAAGCATACATTTTTGTTTAAAATCTTCACTATACTATTATTTATAAATGTAAAAAAAGAAAACACTCCTAAAAACAATATAGATAAGTATTTGATTTTTGACTTCCTCCTTCTTTGCAGAACTGACCGGTATAAACTTTCTAAAGTACTGTTCTCTAAAGAATTCGTTTATTTTACTAAAAGGAGGAGACAAATACATTGCATTAACTGTGACAAAATTGATGCAAGAAAATTAATGAACAAGTTAATTCTGACATTATTAAATAAATGACTCAGGAAATTGAGCATGTAAAATACGAAATTTCATTGAAGATACTTATTAAAATATATTTGCAATATAAACATGAAAGAGCTTGACATATAATAAGCGAAATTGTTGGGTTAATCAATAAATGTTGAAATACAAGCCATAATTCAGAATTACCCAAGAAAATGAAAAATAAAATTAAAGATTTATGTAACAACTTCAAATGATAGTTCCAATCAATTTTAGATGTATGCTTTATTTAAGGAGGCGACCCCAAATGACTTACACCTTTTTTTTGCCTTTTCTTTCACCTTCTTTCACCCTACTGAGAAAGTATATATGAATCCTGGCTGCTAGGATGGGTTGGGGCTGGGTTTTGTGCAGGGACTGTCTTTTGAAGACATGCCAAAGCCCCCTTTCAATAGTTCTCCTTGGCTAGGCTGGGGCTGACTTTGTGCAAGAAAAATGGAGGGAAAGCCTAAAATAGTCCCTTTGCAAAAAACAAAACAAACCACCTCTTGGTGAGGGCTAGGCTTCACATCCAAAATGAAAAAAAAGAAAAGAAAAAAGAAACAGTTCATTGCGAAGAGTTCCCAGAGTAGGGCATTTTGGGGTGCTCTTTTCTGGGAGTTTTTGCAAAGCAGCATTTTAGGAATGTTTTACAAAGGAATGTTTTAGAGCAGGGGTCCCCAACCGCCGGTCCGCGGACCGGTACCGGGCCGCGGAACAAGCCTTACCGGGCCGCTGGTTGCTGGGCGCCGCCAT